CCCCTCCCCCCGGGCCCACGGAGGAGCCTCCCTCGCCACAAGTGCTTCGGGACAGCAGCTAGTTTTAGCGAAGCAAAAGACGCAGTGGCCGCTGTCTCGGGCACCGTCTCTCACGTCTCACTGGGGAACAGCAGTCAGGGTTGCTGGAAGCGATCTGGGTGCACTGGGGACCACGTGCTCGGCAGCAGCCTGGCGCAGGGACGGAGGTGGCGCGCTGCGCGCGGGGCCAGGGACGCGGCGACGCTTTGCTGCAATGCCGAGCGTGTCCCTGTTCCCTCGGCAGAGCCGGACCCGCTTCGCTCGTGGCCAGACGGGCGCGTGTGTCCCCTGGGACAGTTCCCCTGCGGCAACCTCTCCATCTGCTTACCCCAGGCCCTGCACTGCAACGGGGTGGAGGACTGCGACAACGGCGCGGACGAAGAAAACTGCGGTAATTAGCAAGCCCCTAGCAAAGATGGATGCCCTAGGAGTTAATAAACCTCCTGGACCTGGAGGTGCCAGGATCCAGCCCCGGGGGCGTGTTGGAAGAGAGCTTGCTCTTCCTGCGAATGCAGTGACTGCGAGGAATCCTGGCTCTTGCGTTATCTAGTGAGATTTGTGTTGTCCTTGCGACTGCAAGCCGTCCAGGCGCAGTGGCCAGGCAGGCCTCCAGGCAGGAGATTGTCTGTCAAGGACTGTCCCAAGCTTGCCTGAAAGAAAATCCTGTTACTACAAGACTTAGTTATTTCTGGGCTGTGGTAGCAAGGCAGCGGAGGAGTGGGATTTTGCACTATCCATCAGGAAACGAGGGTGCAGCAGGTCTAAAGAAACAAAATAAATTCCTTTTTGCGCAGCACAGGGAGCTGATTAACTCAGCGGTTCGGGCGCTGCCTCTGTCCCAGGAAATCCTTAAGCTGGGCTTAGTGGGATGGTAGGAACAGAGGGAAGAAAAGTTTATACTGGCTGCGCTGGAGACACGACACGGGGCTGGACGGAGCTTTGCTCTGCCCCAGCCCGGCTGCGGGGCTGGACCCGCTCTCGGCCGGGCCGAGGTTTCGTGGCAG